TATATTGATTGAATTTAAGATTTGGATCAAACCATATTCCCAGCCATCTAATTGGTATTTGAGGCTTAATTGTTTCAGAATTAAGTAATATGATTAAGTATTCTTTTACTGATTTAGATATTGAGAAATGCATTAGTTCCGTTTTTGCTAAATCGAATTGAATAGCATTCTTTGTACTTAATTCGTAGATTTGATGTATTGCTTTTTCCAAGAATTTAATATTCTTTTTCCAAGTAGATGAATTTGTAATTAAAGCAATATCATCTATATAGGAAAGGAATTTGACTGAATTAGACAGAAATAAATCTCTAATATATATAAGGAAGAGGATTGGCGAGATTGGACTGCCTTGTGGTATTCCGGTTGTAATTGGTTTAAAAGATTCGGTTTGATTATTAAATGATAATTTAAGCATTCTTTGTTGAAGGAACAATGCTATCCTGGATATCAGATTTGTAGGTAGCTTTAGCTTTTTGCAAGTATCCAGGAGTCGATTTTTCGAAACGTGGTCAAAAGCTCCCTTTATATCCATAAATAATACTGAAGTCTTTTTATTGAATTATTTATTCCTTTCGATTTACGTAGTTAATAGTAGTGCTGTATCGATTGCTGATTTCTTTTATCAGCCTCTAATTTGACTTTTATGAAATAAATGAATAGTTTCTGCTAGAAAACTTAAACATTGAGCTAGAATCCTTTTACTTATCTTCCCAAGACAGTTTAGTAATGCAATGACCCTATATGCTTTTGGGATTGAATAATCTGGTTTTAAAGCTTTCTTTAAAATAGCTCCGGTAGCCTGTTTCCAGCATTGTAGGTGATATCCAATATCAAGTAATTTACTAAATAAACCAAAAAAGATTTATAGAATTGCTTTGTATGCTTTTATAATGATTTCTTAAATAATTCCGTTTGGACCAGGGATTTTCCCGTGTATTTTTGCTGAACAAGCATTGCTTAATTCGATTTGAGAAAGGCTAGGCCATTCCCACTTTTTGCACTGTTTATATCCTTCCCACTGTGGTTCTGGGGTAATAGGAGGAGGTGGGAAAAGAGTCGTTCTGAAAGCAGAGCATTTTCCTTCAAAAGAGCTTTCTATTGAAATATTTGCTTGGCAGAAGAATCGAAACTTTCTACAAAGATCATTATCAGGTCCTCCAGGTCCAACAAATACATCGTATACTGTGGATCATTTATATTCATGGGCAGTGGGAGGAAATGGTCAAAACGAAAGATGTCAGATAATAGGAGAGATGAAACAGCCTGGTGTTATTTTGGTTAATGAATGGGAGGGAAGAAACCCACAGCGTGATATAACGAAGATATTGGGAAAGGAGCTGAGAGCGTAAGATACTTTCTTTTGAAGAAAAATAAACTACTAATGAGAATAAGGTATGCGTACGAGTACAAGTGTCCACAGGTTTTTGCATATGATGGAATACACCTTCTGGTTGTTCAATTCAAAGCTAAAGACGATGAAGATATCAAATCATTGCATTGTCGCGTTGATTGCTGTATCTTGGCGCGGACACCCGAAGGTGCACAATGTACTGCCCGATTTGCACTTTATCGGCTAGCATGGAGGGGCTGGATGAGGATGATCGGTGTATGGTCAGCTGATTTTCACGTTTCGATTGTCGGATGGCGTCGAGAATTCCGATATTGGTCAGGACGTCCAGGTTGGGTAAACGAACAAGATCCGCGCAGGAAAGAATTAGACCATCCGGATGGTTATATGCGAAGGTTTGATCTAACAAAGAAGGCATGGTATTGGGTAGATGTGCAGAGAAATCCAGTACTTGATGTGTACGGCAATACTATTTGGGACTCCATTCAATCATTGCCATAATTGGAAACTCTTTTGTGTAAGGAAACGGAAATATGCATAAAGCAAACAAGCGAGGGTCATGTTCAATAAAAGTTTTTTGTCTATATATCATCTTATTTACTTCATTGCTTAAGAATGAATTTCAACTTTGCTTTTAATCCTTCACTATGAACCCAAATTCTTTGCAACATAAGCATAAAAATGCACCTCCATCGCTACCTCCAGGATGGGCTCCGCCATTTGACTTTATTGAGGTTGATCCCAATTTAACCCGGGGTCCTTTGGTAAGATTTTTGTTACCTCCACAACACATCTAAGCAAATTTTAATATTTTCAGGAATTCCGTATGGGCCATAGATTGATTACTGCCACTATTGCTGAACGAATTGATCCACGACGAACTGTTTATCGGTTGAAGATCGAAAAGCCATCTATCCTCGATTATATCCCAACCTTCTTTATTCGCTTGGTATTTGAAAGGATTTTCAATCTTTATCCAATTCTCAAATTTTTTTATCCCGAATGGTTTCTGCCATCAACAATAATTCTGAAAAAACGCAAACCTGATTGGGATGAAGAGTTCGAGGTTGAAAAACAGATATATCGTCGCCTTCAACCTCTTCAAGGAAGATTCATCGGCAGATACTCCATATTAAGAACTCTATTAATTCATATAT